CATTTTCCTGAGTTCAAATCTGGCCTCAGACACTTACTAGCTGTGTGACTCTGAGCAAGTCATCTAACTCTGCTTCAGTTTCCTCATCTGTAAAATGAGCTGGAGAAGGAAATGGCAAACCTCTCCAAATATCTTTGCCAAGAAAACCCCAAAAGGAGTCACAAAGGGTTGGACAGAACTGAAAATGACTGAACTACAAATCAGCCCTACATAAAAGTTCATAAACAGATTTTCCTGCTGCTACTCCTAAAAATATTTATATTCCCCATCCTCTAGATACAGCACCTTTGGCCACATTTTAATTCCAGTTTTTTATGCTATTATTTTTCTGTGGAAATCTTACTTTTACCAGTTAGGAACTTGGGCCATGATGTTCTTTTAGATAGATGGCATAGATGTTTTTATGCTTTTGGAAAACATTGTGAATGTCTCAAAATTTGTTGCTTATCTCTCTGGGAAAAGTGACCCCCACTTCTCACTCTAGCCCACCCTTGAGACTTTCAATTCTGAGCTGACACCATCTAATTGTTAGAAAGCTTTTCCTTTCCTTTTGCAACTTTTTCCTGCTTCTAGTTCTATCCTTGGGGGCCAAACAGATCAAGTTGAATCCCCCTTTCATTCAACAGTCCTGAAAATATTTGAATATAGCTGGCGTTCCCTTCCCCAGGTTCAACATCCTCAGTTCCTTCAATTGATTCTCATAAAGTATCAACCTGTGGCTCTTCATCATCCTTGCTGCCTTCTTCCACACTCTTCTCTTGCCTTTTCCTAAAATGTGTCCTGAGAACACAGGACTCCACCTGTGATCTCATCTGGGCAGAATGGGAGCTTTTAAGTAAATGTGCAAGTGCCACAGCATTGTACATCCCTGGCTAATCACGCACTCAGGAAACATTTTCATGTACTGTGCTTGAGATCATCAGCTAGGATCTGAGCTGATATTCAAATATTGCATTGTCTTCCTTCCACTTTCTTTGGATCTACATTTGTAGTTGTTTATTTAACACTGAAACATGCTCAATTTGAATTTAATTTCTACAATATATATCACCACTCCTGCTCAATTTTCCCATTCCCATTGGGAGTTATCCTTCATTGTCTGACCTCCCATAACCCCCAAACTGGGATCTTTAAATCATATAGTTCAAGTGCTGCTCTATATAATCCTACATGGTAATAACAGGATGTCACTGTATTAAATATCCAGCAAGAAGTGCAACATCTGAGTTGCCCACCAGGTAACAGGGTCTTCGTAAGAGGCCGAAACATCATCACTGGCCACCCTAAAGGGTGCTCAAGCTGCAAACACCTACTATTCTCATTCTATCCCACCTCTACCCTACCCACCAAACTCATTGGTGATGGTGTGGGAGGTGTGTGAGAAATGGATTATTACTCAGAGTATTTAATATTTGTGCCCTGTACATAGCTTGTGAATCCCTAACCCATCTAGACCCCACCTTCCCTCAGTTCATGTTCCCCTGTGTTCATAGCTCCCAGAGACTCAGCATAGTCTGAGGTCAGAGTTTCTTAATGCTTTGGGAACGATATGCATCCAGTGCCCAGAAGGAAATAGAATATAATAGGCTTTTCAAATAATATATACTGGGTCAAGAATAAAAGTTTTCATTATTAAGGGCTCTTCTGGATCCTTGCTTGCATACATGCAAGCATGCATATATATACCACCACACTTAGCTTTTAAGAGGGGCAATAACATGTTGGCATGGAACGAGGGACTCATAAGGACATTTCCTAAGCCATACAAAAGCTTCAGTACTGAAACAAAGAACAAATGAGTTTCCAGTCTGATATTCTATTCTGAGGATAAGGATCTGCCACAGTTTGTAAACTAATACTAGGCCACTCTGGGTTTAGGCAGAAAAAAGAGCCATGGCTGGGTTACAGTTAGACTTCAATTTCCCGAGGCACAGTTCAAGATCCAGTAACAACTGTTTACTTGACAACACCACCCACCATTTTTTTTTGCTAGCTGAGTAGCTATACCCACTCTTGTGAGTACCCATGTAGGAAAATACGTTTTAAGAGCTAGCTGTAAGAATTTGACCATAGATAAGAATATTCTATTTTCTTCCCTTACTAAAAGGGCCAAAGTAAGTGTCTTTGGGCCAACTACCATGTACTACATGCAAAATGACTGAGTTACAAAGAATTTATAGCTATACCTCAATATAGACAGAGAGGTTCCATACTACATTTCCAAATAATCAAGTTAAATTCTATTGTTGCCTATTCCTAATAAACTTTTAAAATGTATTTTAACTTTTAAGCAGTCCTTTTTTTTCTCCCTCAATTGCTGCCAATTTCCCTAGTAGATATTATTTTTGTATTAATCCACATTGGTGAGCACAACTTGATGTTTTCCAAAGCACAGGTAAGTTTTCTGACAGCACTGACTTTGCCGTATTGGAAATGAGTGAATTTGATTCTATCTTGCTAAAAGATGCTTGGCAGACAACTTAATATCTAACAACTAGATTTAGGCAACCCATTACATTTAGCTCTTTCAGAGCACCAACGAATTATTTAGTGCCCTAGAATAGGCAATTTACAAAATGACACCAGCAGAAATTTAAATATGGCACAGAACTGCATTATCTTCCCTCCACATCTGTTCCTGGACCTAGGCATCTATGACAGTGGAAAACCACTATATAAACAAGCTCCCTGAAAAAGCCATCTTCATAGACTACTTGATTTTCCACTTGTTCCTGACTTTAATTCCCAATGCCAATATACGTTCAGTACTGCCAGGCTGACTCTGCTAGTCTCTGTTAGTGTGTCATTAGCCTCTGTTTTTCACAATGTTTGCCAAACCTGCCCATCTCCTCTCCCCTCTTAATATCCCTGATGTCATTCAGGCCTGGTGTGGCTTCTTTGACTCTGCAGTTCCTCTGCTGGCAGGCAGCATGCGGCCCACTTGATGCCTAATGACACTGTCATAGAAGTTTGTTTTTGCTGTCAATCACTGCTGCTCTGACCACATCAACCTCTACTTTTTGGGGTCTTATAATTCTAAAGAAGAGAGCCAGAATCCTCACCTTTGATTCCAGGCTTTTACCAGACTACTCCAAAGATCACACTCAGCCTTAAGAGGATCACATTTGGAAATTTTAAGTAGCATTAAAATTCAGTATGTTAATTTCCTCATGATTTTATCTTCAGTATAAAACAAATGAGAATCAGTCGCTTTTCTGTAATTATTATGCGCTAAGAATTAACAGTTGGTGAACGGAAAAATCCACATATTAATAAATTCCAAAAAAATTTAAATGGGGAGCTATATACACACAATGAAAGGAAATAATTCACCATAGAATTCTATACCTAAGTTTAAATACTTTTTTTATTTTTCTAAATGCTCTAAGTTGAAACTATGCTCTAAAAGCAGTGATGAATAGAAAAGCAAATGGTTTTAGCTTTCTAACGTTTTGAGGAGTCATTTATTACCTGTATTAATACTTTATACTTTATAAATAAGAGACTAAATTCTTTCTAAGCTTTGCTGAAATAATTGAAGTACACTGCTTACCTTTTAACGAAAAATTACTTTTTGAATGGTCAATATTGCAAAAGACACAGGATTTTCTGAGTTTATAAATTACCCAATCCATTTTCTTAGTTTCAAAATGTGAAATAAATTTAAATAATCCAACAGATATGTGAAAAGGGTAGAAATCTGTTAGTAGTCCAATCTTGCATAAAACTGAATTAGAAGGTGTAACTGCATTAGGTTGCTACATTATTTTTTTAAGCAAACATAAATTTACCCTAAGATTATTATCTCATTGTCAAGCAGGTGACAACAGGTTGGCAATGGAGAGGTCCTTCCCAAAGACCACATTTAGATCACAAACAAAATGCAACTAAACTTGGAGTGCTCATTTCAGAAGGTCTTTCTGGGCTTACAAAAACTCCAGAATCAATAGATTTAGAACACTTTTGGGGATGGTGGGTACTTATGATACTGATGTTCATATCAGAATTAAATCCTTTTTCAGTTTTCTTAGAAACTGCCATTTTGAAGACTCTACTCTTCCTGCCCTCCCTTTTCTAAGGAAGGGTTTTATCCAAAAATACACTGCATGATGAGGCTCAGATTTTTCATCCACCATTGCGAATGCAGTATTTTATAACTATTTTTAACTTTCTCTGTAAGATCACTTTTGACAACATTTTTGTTAAAGCTTAGAAACTGGCAAAGAGTGTATGCACAAATAGTTTTGTTTAGAGTGTATATGATTTATCTAAGTAACTGATCAACATGCTGTTTGGCTAAAGTTGCCAGAAAACACATAGGAAAATGTCCATAGGATGGGAGACAAAACTGAAGCTAAAGATTATGCCTGAAGCTTACAATTACAGCATCACATCCCCTTTCAGCATATGTATCCTTTGTCAAGCATTAAAAAAGTTAATAGAGCCACTGTTGTAGCTGTAGGAAAAATTGTTCAGGGAAAACATCCCTATTTTTTCAGTGTTAGTGGTGTCATACAGAGATCTGGCCTGATGCCCACTCTGCGCAAGACGGAGGGGGAATGTGTGAACAGGTTAAGTGTGTAAGTGACGATCTGTCGAGCGACGAGCACTAACAACGTCGGGGACATCAGGAAAGGTCTCAAGCTGAAGGGGACACCAGAGCTGCCTGGGTCATGGAGGAGCTCAAGGATTCTAAAAAGAGGAAGGGCATTTCAGGAGATCCATTTATAACTGCTAGGACACCTTCAATTATGGCCACAAAGTAAAAACAGCACCTGAAAGTCAGTGTAAAATATGTGCTCTGAGTTTGAATTTTACTATTTGACAACGATGTAAGTATTATTTCATTTCAACTTCTATAACCAGCCCTTAGGTTGAACGGTTTTAAAGTTGGGAGGTATATATTAATCAAGAAGGAACAAAGTATACACCAAGAAAACAAACCTTCAGTTATGCTTTATTTTTAACTTGTCATAACTTAAAAAAGTAAAAATGGAACAACAGTATAGATATAAAATGATAGTTAATGAGTTCACCACCTATATTTCAAAGGATTTCAACAATTTTTTGTGAGTTTAACGAAAACACTAACATTTGCAATTATTGGTGAAACGTAAAATGTACAATTATGATCTTCGTCCTGATGACCTTGTGATACTGAAAGCATCTTAGGATGTATCTAAAGCACACTGATGTATCCAGTTCAAAGCCAAGATTCATTTCTTCTAAGACAAACAACTGTTTGTTACTAGCAAAATGTTACTGTATTTATTCAGTCCTTTTAACTAGTATCTCCTTCTGGCTCTCTGCAAATTACATTTATGAATACATGATGAAACAGAATGAATAATTTTCAAGCACGAAGCTATCTTATTAGTACAGATTTATAGCAAGCATTCTGTTCTTAACCTGAGTGCATCTTATTTATGATGGATATTAACCACAACCCACAGAACCACCCTTAGCAGCCCCAAACATAGTTGTTAACAAGAGAATTCATGAATGAACTTGATAGCTTTATAAGGCAAGGCAGTCCCCATACTTGATATTCCCAGTGATGCCCTCAAAAATCTGCCTGAGATCTAAGCTCCCCAATATGAAAGCAAAGCTTTGGGAACTTTGTGTGAGTGAGAGAACTTTCATTTCTAGTACAGCTCTGAGCTATGTGCATCCTCCACACGATGGGAAACGTGCTCATTAGAAAGCACAGCATTTTTGAGGCACTTAAATTTGCCTTGATAGGTTATAAGTATCTCCTAAAAGTACTGAAGGATAAAGCTATTGTCTTACTTATCCTCAGAAGAACAAGCTAAATTTAGAGGCTGCTTTCTAAATCACCCCTCAATCCAACAGCTCTAATCTCAAAGTCACTCAACACAAGAGCTTTGGAATCTATACTACAGATGGATCTCCCTCATAATTAAGTGCTCTCGGTACTAAGTAAACTTCCTTGGAGAGGATCCAAGGCAGAATCCCCATGTATCGAATTCCATTCTAGAGATGAGGTTCCAATGCAGTGACTGCCACCATCCCAAATGGGATTCCTTCCTAAGGTCAAATAGTTACAGCACACCATGAACACACAAAAGAGATTTTGATTTAGGGAGATTCTGCAATGTACCTGCAGTTACTATAAAATAACTAACCATCAGCTAATTTCAACTTAGCCAAAAGAGCCCTGAGAACAATGCATTCCAAATACGCTCCAACTAGAAATATTCCAGTTGAGAAACCATCAAGATCCAAAACACAGACAAGGACTGGAAAGGCTACAAAGGAGAATTTACCAACATTGAGGCACTAACAGACTACAGTACTTTAGAGAGTTGGAAAAACTTCAAAAAGAACAAAATACACAAGGCTATGTGTGTGAATGTATCTACACACATATATTGGGCCATAAAAATGGCAACTTTCAAAAGGACAATATATCCATAACTTTATAGCCTACACAATTTTGCTTTATTACAGCATCTATTAACGTTTTATTGACACTGCGCCCTGGCAACAACAGTTGATTGGGAGTGTAGGGTGTTCATTTAAAAATTAGTGCTACAAATGAAAAAAAGAATGTTGTGTTAGTAACAATCTTGGATTTGATGATGCTCTTGGGAGTGGGAGAAAGAGGCATCACAATTATATTTATGATGCAAATGCTACATTGGATAGCAATAGTTTCAACGGCTCCACAGGTAATCCTACAAAAATTTTAAGCAAAAAATAAAGTATGATTAAAAAAAGTTATCACCTAGTTTGCTACATGAGGAAACATTCACCTTAAATTTATTGAGCTCACTGGTTAATACTGTAAAACAAACTGATAAAATATCTAGAGACACACAGGCTATACCACACACTGTGTAAACTGTCAACATGGTGTTTGATATTCTGCACGTGGGAAAATGAGATTTTTAACCATATGCTGCCAGTACTGCAACAATACTAAGCAGAATTAAGAACTATCATCAATATATTTCTCATTTCAAAGAAAGACAATCATTTCTGCTCCTTCAGTTAAAAATCATGGTCCCTGCCCTCTTTCAAACAGAGGCAACTTCATCAAATAATGAAATACCTACTTTATAGAGTCTCTTCTCTATCAAGGGATACATGGAAATAGATGGTCCTAATGTCTTCAAAACAGCCACACAGATTATACACAAAACAGTAAAAAGTATTTTTAGAGAGAATACTTCAAGGAAGTATTATATTAAAAACTAAATATTAGCTGTATAAATAGAGCTTTTGCCATTCAAGACACTAAGTTAGGAATACAGGGGGGTGTGACTTTTTCACCCTTACATTGCCATTAGAAATATACCGAGGTGAAGTTTAACATGTCAGAAAAAACTAGGGCATGCCAGCTTAGAATTTGTGCTAAACTAGCTGATTTTCTACACTGACTGAGCATGTTTGATCACTTACCAGTTTTCTCTACAGTGAACTAGCTGCAAATTCATAAAGTTGTAGACAGAAGCACGGAGTGGCTGTTGAAGTGCTGAAAACAACACCAGGAAGAATTAAGCAGCAACACTTAGCTGTGCCCTGGCCAGAGAAACAAAACTGAAGCTCCTGTATGGTTTTGGCCACAAGGTTCAAGATTCCTTGGGCCATCCAGGTTCCTTCTCTGCACGTCTGCTAACTTTCTGTTTGCTGTGTCTTGAAATGGATGGGCAGAATTCATGAAGAGGATTTCTTAAAAATATGCAAAATGGAGCAAGTGAAATGGAAATTACATGCCTCAAACAATTTGGAAAATAACTGCATCTGAAATGGAATCTTGGTGCTTTCCCCCCCAAGTTTCTTGGGTCAGATGAAGCAGCAGCAGAGCCTACACAGATGCTAAAGGACAAAAACAGGGTTTTTGAGGGGAGGAAGAAGGTGAGGACAGAATGAGGGCACAGGAGAGGAGGGATGTCACAGAATCAGTCTGGAAGATGAACTCTGATTCACAAATCACTCGTGAATTTAATTCCCCTGGCCTCCCTCCCCCATCATCTCTAAAAAGAGTCCCAAATGCTGGCAACAAGTCCAAGACTAAACCAATGGACACTATGGAAAATGGGGCACAAGGTAATCATCTTACCTCAAGCTAAACCGCTGTTCTGGTCCTACAGCTCTTTTCTAGTTAGGTTTTTGACCTGTTTCTGAGTTAAATCACACAACATTCAGTAAAAAAAAAAAGTCACTACAGAAGTGGTAGATGACAGCAAACTAGAACATATATGGTATGACTGCATTAAAAAATTAACATAGGCAAATCTATATTTGATCCATGAATCTAATTTTGTTTGGAGAAATGTGCAAAATGTCAGTAGCAGAAGACAATCAATTTTTTCATATTAAGTTTAAAACAAGTTCTGGCATCTTGTTTGACAAAAGTTACCATGCCCAAAATTCTGTTTTAAAGTGCCCAAAATTCTGTTAGAAGCCAAGCATTTACTGAACGCATGAGTTCTGCAAACATTATCTTAGGGAGCTGGTTGCCCCTTTTAATAACATTTCCAGAAAAAGAGAGCTAAAAGAAAAAGCCAACTCTAATGGCATTTTTCTACTTTTCATTCTGAAGACAAAGGCCTCGTGTGAAAATCTCCAGCTTTAATTTACTCCCTCCGCCCCCTTTTATAACCCAGCTTTGTAACAACATTTACCCAACATTCTGAATGTGCCTCCTTGACCATAAGCAGGGCTTTGACACAACAAAGTAGGATTATAAGAAGTAGGCCAAAAAGGTGACAAAGAAGAGTAGTACAGAGGTAATACAGTTAGTTGCACATGGCCATTTGAACTTTTGAAAGGCAACCGGCAATTTGGAATCACTGTATTTTTTTGTCTCTTAATAACTGTGCTTGACACACATGGTTCTAAACTGTGATTATTTCATTCCGTAAGACTTTCTTATTTTAAGTTAATAAGTCTGGAATTAGGCTGCATTAATTTCACCAACATCTGATATTTCAAAACTACAATATTTCATTTATAACCTTGGTTTATCTTCCATCAAACTAAAGCTCAAACTATTTGCTCAAGCAAATTATAACATGCCTGCTGAAAAGAATCTTACTGAGTTTCTTGGACCCATAAACTAACAGCTATCAGGAATGCTGAATGAAACAGATCTACAAAATATGTGGAGAATTACAAATCTAAGCGATTTTTTTTAAATTGCCAGTTGTCTTCAAAACTAATCTAGAATCCAGTACTATTCTGAAAAAACAAAACAAAACAAAACAAAAAAACTCAAACCAACAAAAGGCATGAGACTGCTGGGAAGGCCAGAGCTTTGGTGACAGTAAGAACCGAAGGGAAGACCTGGGTTAGCCAGCCCTGAGCGGTCTGCTCGAGCCTGAGGGTTCCTTTATTTGCAGGGCTTTATGGCTACAGCACACTCTTCACTCATTGCACACATGACAGAGACCTGGAAGGACAGAAACACAGGCAGATCAGAGCTGCTGGTGGTTTGTGAAGTAACAGTGAACCTCAGTCACCTGTCACCGACAAAACAGCCTAAGAGCATTTGAGAGTTGATTTTTTTCCACACCCAAGAACTGACTTTGGAGAAGTAAACTGCAGAAATGGTGTCTTCTTCTTAGGAGACTTTTCAAGGCAGTCCCAAGCTTTCCAACGAAGAGCTGCTAAGAGGTGGGGACTGGGCAGAAGGATCCACCAGCTACTTTGGGGGGCAGGTCAGAACAAGTCATTCTACTTTTTGAGGGATCAGTTTCCTCAGCTGTAAAATGAGGGGGTGGTCCCTTCCACCTCTAAATCTTGTTATCTGAGACTAAATTCGAGGGAGAACCAGTCATCTTGATGCTTAAAGCATATTCTCTTCCAGTCCTTAAAACCTATTAGATATACCAAAGCTCTAAATTGTATTTTGTATTTGGCAGCAAACTATCCAGTTTTTAAAAGCTTTCTCGTAAAGAAATAGGGAACAGCAACAAATAGCCAACTTGTTTCTAAAGAGATTGAAAGCAAGTTGTTTTCCAGAGACCCATTTAATTTTCAGGAAAAATAAAAATATTGAGAAAAAAATTAAGCTTTATAATCTCATCATATCAAATTATTCTTCAGCACTTTTTCATGTCAGCACCCCAGAACACAATCTTCCTAAGGTACTACAGCCAAAAGTTTTGTCCCCGGGTGGCTAACCTTCTTTCTAATGAAGAACCTCCTTGTCTTAGCCAGAATAGTCTGATTCAAGACCCTCTAGGTCACTGATGGGCCTAGGCCCAAGGCCATTTCTCTGTAGGAGCAGCATGAGTGTGCCCTAGGATGACCTCTATGCAAAAATTAGACAGCTGAGGAGGACTGCAGTGGTGAGCTTCAGGTTACTGAGGATTAAAAGACTTTTTTTTTAATACAAATAAACCAAGAATACACCAATCCTTACAGTCAGTTTGTATAGAATTGCCTTTAAAAAAACCCCTCATTTCAAAAACCTCACAAAAATAATACTCCATTATATCTTTACCTGCACGTCTTCACCCGCATTGTATTTTCCTTCGATTTCTTTGCCCAGTTCACCTTCTGGAACCTTAAGATCCTCACGAACTTCACCAGTTTCTGTCAGTAGGGATAGGTAACCATCCTGAATGCAAATCAGCTGTAATAAAGGTGAAGGCACTTTATTACTTCTAAGGGAAAAATCATCTCCCTCCCCACTTTCAAGTTCTTAAATTGTTAAGAAAGAGGCAAAAACTACAAGCATGACCCAAGTTATCTTTTATAGTCTTCATATTACTGCTAGCAACTATAAATTTCAGCCTAGAGATTGGCTGCCACAAAAAATAGCTGAGCCAGCAGACTGACCTGATGGAGGAGGCAGACATTGGGGAGAAGCTCAGATCCTCCTGCAGGACAGAAAGAACAATCTACCCCAATGAGCACTGTACACAGCGCAGGAACAGGGAATGCCCACAAGCAACGGTGTGACCTAAGCTGCCTGTTCTTACCCTTCCGTAACAAAAACTAGCACGTTTTCAAAAGGAGGCAATGGTGGCGGGGGCTTTCCACCACACCAGCCTTCCAAAGAGATCTACAACTGAGTGCCTGATACACCTTTGAACAGCTCCTACAGGGGAATGAAAAGCAAAGCCAAACACCACGGGCTGGATGCTTTGGGAGAGAAGCCCTTGCTGTCTGCAGGCCTTCTGGCTGCTTTAGTCTATTCAAGAATTTCAGGTTTCTTATGGTCAGGTGGCACAATGACCTGTGAAAACATGGCCTGCAGTTAGAGGAGAAAGGAGATCACATTTGGGAGGTGGCAATATATTTTCCTACCCTGGCCAACAGCTCCGGGAGATAAAGTATTTTGTTAAAACATTTTAAAAGAAAACAACTGCTTCTACAAGAGCTTCTCTCCTTGATGCAATCTGAAGAATGAAAGAACAAGGGAGAATTGTGAGGATCAAACTGGGGGCAGCGTCTCTCTGGTGGGAAGGGGCTGACAGCCTGCAGTGCTGGGAGCAAGTATTGAGACCATCCCCACATGCCCCACCTTTGTTCAGATCTCCAGCAGCCTGGCCATCTTCATTTGTTTGCTTAAGTACACTTCTTTATTAGAAAGTGCTATTTTCCATTGTGAACCATTAAATGGGCTGTCTCAACTATTAATGAACTTTCGGATACAAATTAGTGTCATGGGTTTGAGCCAGTTTTCCTGGAGCCTGATCAAAAGTAATACTGAGCTACAGAACACAGACTACATGACCAAACCTCGGAGCATAGAAAGGTGACATTGACTTTGATGCCCTTCCTGATCATCAATACATCAAGAGCTTTCCCTAACAAAAAACAACTACACATAATTTAAAGATAATCACTTTTTTTCTACTTCTGTGCTGTTCCCCTTCCACGAGCACATCCTTAAACCTAGATGACTAGCTCACAAGAAGTCATCAGGTAAAGCTTCAAGGCCTACACAAGATTAACCTGTAGTATAATTCAATGAGTCACAGTGATTAAAAAAATAGCTCTAACAACGAAGTTTGGAAACACACAAAACACCCAGCACACATTGTGCTATTGCACAATACAAAAATGATATGGCTGACTCTTAAATCTATTTAGAATCAGGACGCCACAACAGATGAGAATGGACCATGGGCCACTCTAATAGTAAGAGAGAAGGATGCTGGTTTGGAGATGACCAGCTCACTATGCTCATCCTCAGATGAAAGAACCAAGACTCAGATTAAATAACTTGTCCAAGGCCACAGGGACAGTTTTTAGATTTGAACATAGTGCTACATTTCATATCATTTCTACAGAAAATCCACAGCAATTAGCAATTCTCTTCCAAGCTATACAAGCTAGTAGAAGAGCTACCTTCCAATAATCAGTTAATTATACATACTACCAAAGGAAGACTTCATAGAGCTAGACAAAATAATAACAATTTATTGGGGGGAACAAAAACTCCAGCATCATGGAATACATTTGGGGAAAAGATAGGAATGAAGGAAGAATAAGCACTTCCAGACCTCAAACAATATCATAAAGCAGAAATCATCAAAATCATTTGACACAATTAATAAAAGAGAAAAGCAGATCATGGGAACAAATTAAACAAGGAAGAATTATAAATAACTCAACTCAATAACCCATTTGATAAACCTGAAAATTAGACAGCAATCTGGTAGAAATTACCCTTAGGTCAACATGTTATAATAGGAATTCAAAATAGATCCATCATATAATTAAATGATTAGATCAAAAAGATGATATACTTTTCATATTTATGGAGTGGATTTTTAACCAAACAACGGATATAGGCAATTACAAACAATAAAACAGATAATTTTATTATGTGAAATTGAAAAGTTTTTGCAGAAACAATATTAACATATCTAGGATAAGGAAAAACGGTTGACTGGGAAAAAAATCTGTATCAAATATATATGATGAACAAGTTTGGTATCCAAGACATATAGCAGAAACACGTAACATGTTTTTACATCTAAGAGAAAGATCAAAAGCCATTTTACCAATACAGAAGTAGTCAAACAACATGAACAATTATCACCAGAAAAATAACAAACTATAAACAACATATATATGTATATAAAATGATATTCAACATTACTAATAAGAGAAATGCACATTGAAACAACCCTGAGGTTTTACCACACCTCCAACAAACTGGTAAAGATAGCAACAAGATCAAATGTTTGAGGAGTTCAGGAAAGACAGATACACTAATGCATTGTTGATGGGGTTGTGAATTGGTAGAAACCACTCTAGAAAGCACTTTAGAATTATGCAAATAAAATGACTAAAATGTTCCTATCTGTTCACCCAGAGATCCCACTGCACTCGCAAAAAGGAAGCTCCATCTACACCAAAATATTAACAGCATCACTTTTGGGGGTAGTACAAAACCGGAAAGAAACTAGTCACCCATCAATTGTGAGATAGATAAATAAATTGCAGTTTCTGAACGTAATAGAATATAACTGCGCCATAAGAAACAATGAGTGTGATGAATGGAGAGGAAGATGAAAAGACTTCTACGATCTCATGCAAAGTGAAGTAAACAGAGTCAGAAAACAACGTACAATGACTAACATGGCATATGTAGAAAGAACAACAGCAGAAGGACTGAAACCAAATTTTGTTAAATGATGATGACTAAACGGCTCCCCAAAGAGCTGTGAGAAAAGACGTCCTCTGCTCTTCTGCAGAGTTGGGGACCCATAGGTGCGGTACAAGTTTATAACAGACTGCTTCTATATGCTGAATGGTTCTGTGGTTTGTGTTAACTTCTTCTTCCTTTTAAAAACAAAATCACTGGTTATAAGTAATGGTTCCCTGGGAGGGGTAGGGAGGATACCAAGAGCTATGTAAAAACAAAATATATGAATGAAATCTATTTCTTAAAAACAGAATTCGAAGCAACTAGCAATCTTTTCACATGGTAGCTTCGGACCAAACAGAAGGAAGAACAGACAAAGGACATCATAATAAACATGAAGCTTAAATCTACTTTTCAATTACTGAAATGGACAGGTATTTCTCACTTCGTGGAAAGAGCATAAAGATATAGTTAACTGAACAGATACTGCTGGAACAACCACATACAAAGGCCTGCACTAATCACTGAGGAAAATACCAAGATAGATTAGATACAAAATGTAATCCTCTAATAAGGAAGTGTAGAATTCTGTAGGCTTCAAAAGGAGGGCACAGAAAGAACAAGACTCTTCATTTTCAACCAAACTACAACACTGGGACCGACATTTTTAACTGAATGTGTTACAAGGACTTCCTATGAAAGTGAACCACCGTGCCACCTAGCTGCCCCCGTGGCTGGAACACACGGCCCTGGAGTCAGGAGGACCCGAGTTCAAATCTGCCCTCAGACATCTAACACTCACTAGCTGTGTGACTCTGCGCAAGCGACTTAACCCCAACTGCTTCACCAAAAAAAAAAAAAAAAAAAAAGTGAACCACGGGTTAATAAAGATGACAGTGTGGCTAAACACCTGTTGATCAGGGCAGAAGGATTTCTAAAGATCAACATCTTCCATTGAGCTCCAGAATGGATGTAAAGTAACAGAAAGGAGCACCCTATGCTGCCCTATCAATAAACACCAACACAACCAGTACTAAACTTTGTTAACCTTTGCTCTTTCTCTTCAGTGATTGGAGGATTCCTGTCATTACTAGTAGTCTGTACTGATGCTATTCATTCTCCTCTTCCCACCCAACTCTTACGATAAATAAACAAGCAAATAATTGTTCCCTTCTAAATGTCTACTCAAGTTATGTCGCCTCCTTGATGAAGTCTTCCCCATTCCCCTATTCTTCAACCAGATTCTGCCTTGGTCTTCACCGAGTGCTTTGCTTTGTTCCTAATGTACCACCATGTAACATTTTATTATTAGATATTGACCTCATCTCTATCTGTAGCCATACCTTATCTCCTTCTCCCCCTTCATGTTGCCCCTCCCACCCTGGACTACAGGCTTTGAAAGGATAAAGACCACCCGTAATCTAACTTTACATCGCCCTAAACAAAGCACCTGCACAGTTCTCTCTCCTCACACAGCAGGAGCTTGTAAATCTGTTGAACTGACCTCATTTGAAATAAAAGCAAAATGTACACACAACTGTCAGCACCATTTACGGGTGAACCGGAGGGATGAATGACTAAGTTTGGTAAAGAAAATAAACTTTCTTCCTCTTTTAGTGTTCTTTTCTAGATTATGTCCTTGTCACACTAAATATTCACGTGTGTATAATGATACCCTGGAAAGGTATACCAAGCAATTACATTCTAAGTGGAAGTCAGTGAATCTAACAATCTGAATTTAGATTTCCCTCTATGTAATATAATCAGCATTCTTATATGTCTATCTCCCTCTTTGATATTCACTAATTCACTTTGATATTCACTAATACGAAAGTGAAGTAACATGGCCACGTGTGGTATTTAAAAACTCTCTAGGAAGCACAGGCTCAAAAAGACTATATATAAAGTACCTTGACCAAGTGTACATTCTTTTAGGTCAGTCATGTTTGGCTTTTAATGGTTCCCAAAGGAGCAAACACTAGGACTAAGTGTTAGAATTAAATGTGTAATTGGAATTGAAATCCAAGAGCATAACTGTTCATGTTACCAGTTACAAAATGGCCAATGAATAGTATGAGGTAAAGACTCAAACTACATGATGCTGTTAAACTACTGTCTTCATTCCCTTTCACCCTGTGAGACTTTCTTTTTAAAAAATAATCTTTTCAGATAAAAAAAGGCAATATGATAAAACACAATGATCTAGTCTTTACCAACTTTTAGGAAAATTTATTAATTGTCTAGCTTCTTCCTTTTTTAAAATTCAATTTTATTTTTTATTTTCTGTTTCAAATTCTTTCCCTCTCTCCCTCCTTCCCCCACCCATTGAGAAGTGAAAATAATACTCATTATACATATGAAGTCACACACAGCATATTTTTGCATTAGTCATATTCCAAAAGAAAAAAAATACTAAGAAAAAGGAAAAAAGTATGCTTCCACCTGCTCTGAGTTCAGCAGTTCTCTCCAGAGGCTGGATAGCATGTTTCTTTATGAGTCCTTTGGGATTGCTGTGGATCTTTGCATTGGTCACAGTTGCTAAGTCATTCAAAGTTGGTTATCTTTACAATACTGGTGTCACTGTGTATACAATGTTCTAGTTCTGCTCACTTTGTTTTGCATCAGTTCAAATAAGTCTTCCCCGGTTTTTCTGATCCCTTTCGTCCTTTCTAATAGCATCAGAGTACTCCATTCACACTTATATGCTATAACTGGCTCAGCCATTCCCCCACTGACAGGCTTCCCCTCTCAGTTTCCAACTCTTTGCCATCATGAAAAGTGCTGCTATAAATATTTTTGTACCTATGGGTCTTTGGTGACTATTTCCTCCAACCTTATGTTTTACAAGGTTCTAACATTTTTTCATCTAGCTAAGTATAAAACATCCATTTGTGTTAATATATAACCTTGGCTGGCATGAAACTTAGCCCAATGTGAGGCCAACTTCTACTTGAAGATTTGCACTTGTGATTAGCCAACCAGATCAAAAAGAAAGCATCTCAAGTGGAAGGGAACTTGTTCCCTTGTTCTCTGAAATTTGGACTTTTTGTAGCAAGCATAAAGTGGCAGTTTCATTAACTTTATGAAACTTTAGACTCACTTCAAGAAACCATTTCATGTGCAATCATCACTTGTTCTGTAGATCATTAAATAATGTTTTAAAATGACAATTCAACTTTTTACAAAGTGAAAACAATTTTTAAAAATAGTGAATATTAACTCTACTGCAGAAAGATGAAAATCACTCTCCCTTCTAGTGTCTACAGTGGATACTTTTCTTATATTCCCTTCTCATTTAGAAGTAAGAGATAAATGAAAGTACTCTGGCTTATATGACTTGTAAACCACGTATATTTAATGAAAAAAATCTATTGAGAGGAAATTACTTACTTGATAGTCATTTCTCTTGATATTTGGAACATCCATGTTGTGAGTAGAAGGGCAAATATCTTCATATTTTTTGCCCGTGAAAATATCAATTCCAACCAGGTGAACCTAACACATAAAGGGAAGCCAGTTTAATTTTTGCCCAGTCTAACGCCTAACTTACTTTAAGAGCAAAATACCAATTTCACTGTTTGAAATTCTCCTTCTCTCAAAGAGGAGATATGGTCTTGTCTTTAAGAAAAAAAATGAGAGCCCCCACCTGCCAAACCCCAGCTGGGCAATAAAGATACTATGACAAAAATGCAACTGTCCTGGCACTCAAGGAGTTTAAGTTCCATCAGAGGATACAGTAAACACAAAAGAAATACAAGTTGATCTTGGAGGACAGGCACTGGCAGATGGGGTGGAGGTGGGGTGGGATAGGAGAAGGCTTCCTGTTGGAGATGACTTCCTGAGTTGAACTCTAAAGCTTCAAAGATGGTGAAGGAGGAGGTAAAGTGAGCAAAGAGGCAGGGTAGCAGACTGTGCAAAGTGCAGAGAGATGGACTAGCACCAGATGAGTAGCAGGAGTGGACCTCAGGAATGATGGAAAGAGTCTCATGGATGAGAAAGCTCAAAGGGTTGGTGGGCATCAGGCCTTGGGTTTGATCCTGGAGGTGCTTACTAAGCAGGAACTTAGTCTGACTAAGGTCAGACTTATGATTTTGGAAGATTACTCCGGCACTTTCTGGAAAGCAGATTAGATAGATGGGGGGAGAGATGTGAGGCAGGGAGACCAATGAGGGTGACAGATTTGGAGCTGAAAGTGTATTGGGAGACCCTTTAACCCACACCTCCTCATTTCAGAGATTTAGAACAGGGGCAGTAAGAGCGGCTTGCCTGAGCTCATACAGATAGGGCTCTTGTTTGTACACAGTTGTTTGCACACTGCTCCTGGAGGGCAGGGACTGTTTTTTCCTTTCTTTGTAACCCCACCAGTGCTGAGCACAGCCTGAAATAGAGTAGCCGCTTAACCAATAACGGTCCTCGCCAGGGGTGTGACCGCAAGATTCCTAACTCCAGCAGACTACAACCCGAATGCCTGCATGCAGCACGAATCGACAAAGAGAGCTGTCTAAAGGAATGGAATCACAGTGCATCGGTTCCCAACATCACCGACCCTGCACAGCGGACGTAACCCAGACCCCACGCTGCGGGCGGCTGGTCAGCAGCCCAGCCCGGCCTGAGGCTGCTTCTCTCGGGGGTCCTGGGAGACCACTGGGGCTGTCCCAGGGTTCTGAGGACCAGGAACCCCGGCTGGGGGCTGCGGGCGGGCGCGGTCACCTTGGCATGGCCATGCTTGCCCGTCTTCGAAGTTGACATTTCCACGATCTTGCAGGGCCGGCCCTTGAGCACCACGAAGCCGTTCTTGCGCAGGGCCGAGCACTGCATCGGGTACGTGCTGGAAGCCCCGGCGTCTCCGGTGGTGAAGTCGATTTCGTCGGCCATGGTGGGTCGGGGCGGTGGTCCTTCTGCAGCGGGAACTGGGCAGGGGGGAGGGGCGGTGAGGGGGGGCTCCGCTCGGCCCCGCCCCGGGGACCCGCACAAACTTTCCCATCCCGAGCCCCGCGTCGGGCCGCCCCCCGGCCCGCGCTCCACCTGCGGGGGGTCTCGGGCCTGCCCACCTGCCCTCTCCCCCCCGCCGGGGGCTGCCAGAGCCCGGAGACTCCCCCCCACCCCGCCCACGAGCTCGCACTGTCCCCTCCCCCTGCCCGGGGCGCGCTCCGTTCTCACCTCCCCCCCCACGGGGGCGCGCATGCCCCGATGCGCCGGTCCTGGAGCGCGCGTGGCTCCCCCCTCCCCCCGCCGCTACCTGGCACGAGGCGGGGGGAGGGGGGGCGCGCCGCAGGGAGCCGGCAGCCGCCCTCCGCTGGCCAGACCCTTCCGCCCCCCGGCCTCCACTGCCCCAAGATGCTTCGTCAGCGCCCCCGCCCGAGTCCCCGCCGGGCTCACCTTCCAGCCAGTCGCGGAGCGTCACCCCGCGCTCAACGCTCCCGATGGCCCACTGCGGCGGCTGCAGCGGCGGCAGCGGCGGCGGCCGTAGATGCTTGGCGGCTTCAGGAGACGGGGCGGGGCCCGGCAAGCACTTTCCACACCCTCCTTCCCCCCAGGCCAGCCCTCTCTTCTCCTCTCCAGCCCGCACGGCACGCCCCCTTTCCCTGATAGGTCCCCGGCGCATCACAGGTACCGCCCCCTCGGGCCGCCATTGGCTGCGGGGGCCCCATCCCCGCCCAGTCACGTGAAGAAAGCTTGGCAACCCCACGTGCCTACAAACAGCACGTTTCCAGCCTGGGGGCCGTAGTCCGACGCCCGCGCAGGTCCAGGAGACTTCTCTGGCCGCTACCCACCCGACTGCTGCGAGGTCCCGCGCCAGGCACTCTCCGCCGCCATCCTGGTCGGTCAACCGTTCCTCGAGGAAGCCACGCCCCCCGGAGGGGTAGGGTTCGCGGCAGGGGACGATGCGCGGGGGGCGGAGTGGGCTGTTGCCATGGGAGCGGAGAGCGCCGGGAGGTGACCTCCCTCCAGAAGCGTCCGTGGGCTTCGGCCACTCGACCTCCCTGGATCTCGGCTTGTCCGTGGGAGCGATCTTCCTAAAGGGCAGCGCGTCCGACCAAGTCCTGGCGTGCCCCGACTCAGTAACCTGCGGGGGCTCACGGATGAGCCTGCCAGAAGCTGGTCCCTTCCCCAGTCTTCCTACCCACGTATCTGGAGACCCCCGATGCCGGTCTCGTGGCGTTTGCACAGGACGTTACGCTTGCTGGCCGTCTTACCTCTACCACCATCTGCCCCCCACCCCTCCTTTCCCCCTTCCCCTCTCCCTTCTTCTCTTCCTCCTCCTCTCTTTCCCTTCTCCTCCTCTCTCCCCTTTTCTCTCCCTCCTCCTCCCCTCTTCTCTCCATCTCCCTTCCCCTTCCCTTTTTTCTCCCCTTCTTTCTCCCCCTCCTCCCCCTCCTCCCCCTTCTCCTCCCCTCTCCCTTCTCCTCCCCTCTCCCTTCTTCTCTTCCTCACCCCCCCACTCTTTTTCCTCTCCCTTCTCCTCCTCTTCCTCCTTCTCTTCCTCCTTCCTCCTCGACGTTCCTAGTCCCAGCTAACATCCTACCTTTTCCAGCCCCCCTCAAGGCTAGCTCGTTCCTTCTGTAGATTACCTGCAGTTTATCCTACACTTACTTGTTGGCGTGCTGTCCTCCTCACTCGCTAGACTGGGAGCCCCTTGAGGGCAGGAACTGTAAAATTTTGCCTTTTTTCGGATCCCTGGTGCTCAACAAGTTGCTTGTAGATTATTAAATGTTTCATTCACCTTCACCTTACCTGTGACATTGCCCTTCCCTCCCCCTGCTGCCTCCTCACCTTGTAGTTCTGGTTAACCGTAGTCATTCCCCATTAGGACTCCTTGAATCAGCACAAATTTACCCAGCTCTTATTATGTGCCAGGCACAGTGTAAGAGCTGGAGCTACAAAGAAAGGCAAGACTAATCCCAGATCTCAAGAGCTAACAGTCAAATGGTGTGTTGACATGCGAACGACTATATATGTACCAGATAACTTGGATCTATATATGTGTGTGTATATGTACATATATATGTATATATGTACCAGATAACTTGGATCTATATATGTATGTGAACAACTCTATATGTACAAGATAACTTGGAATCTCATAAAGAAGATGCTCACCTAAGGGGCCCCTGACTGGCTTGCTTGCTTTGCGTGTATTTATGTACCTGTTGGTTTAGCACGATGCTTGGCACATAGTTAATGCTCCATGTCTAGCTATGTTCTCCATGTCACTCTAATGCCCAACATTCCATCTCTGACGTTTGCACTTTGCCTTTGCCCAGGCTGGAATACTGTCCTTCCTCACATTTTTTCTTTTGGAACCCCTAGCTCCATTCCAGGCTTAGTAGCTCAATGCTGCCTCCCACGAAAGGCCTTTTTTGTCCCTCAGCTCTTGTTACCCAGTTTTAAGTATCCTTCTCCCCCAGATTACTTTGGGCTTATTTTGTATTTAATTATCTGGGGACCTTTTCCCTCTCACCCCCTCACCCCGCCAGACAGATCTCCATGAAGACAAGGACTCTTCCAGTCCCTGGCACAAAGTATGATACTTGAATACTTAAAATCAACTTAATTTCGTATAATGTTACAGAAGTACATTATGACCCAAATATGGTATATCTCTGCTGTACAGAGGCAGGATTCTTAATTTTCTATCATTGATGGAAGAATTCAAAAAAAGTAACAGTAATTATTTGCTATTAATAATTTACTATGTGCACTCAGTTATCAAGCATTTAATAGGGGCTTGCCATGTTTCATGCACTGTGCTAAGCAGTGAGGATACAAAGAAAGGCAAAAAATAGTCCTGGCCCTCAAGGAACTTATGTTCCGATGAGTGAGACAACATGAATATATGTGAATAGGTAAAAGCTCTGTACAGAGTAGATGGAAGGTGCTGGAGGAGGCATTGGAATATGAGATTCCAGTGACTTCAGAATGTGGCAGCAGGCTTTTCTATATGATTGGGAGCATCTGCTCTTAGAACTGGAAGTAACCTTTGTAGTAAGACCTCAATGCAGGCATTCCTTTCTACAATATACCTACCTATTTGGGTCATTCAGTCTCAGCTAGGGACTGAAGGGGATGGGGAGCTCACTACTTCTGGAGGAACTCCCGTTCTGTTGTTGGAGAGCTCTGACTACATGTTCTTCCTTATATTGACCCAATGTTTGTTGTCATATAACTTTCAACAATTGGTGCTAAAAAATTCTGTCTTCTGGAACATCAAGGAAAAATTATCTTTTGCACCATTAGTCCTTCAAATCTTATGGGACATTAATCATGCCTCTCTCTTAGTTCACCTTTTCTTCTGCAGGCTAAATTTTACCATTTCAACTATTGTTACTTGTTTCACCATCCTAATTAAGTGTCCCAAGGCAAAGTCTCAGCCTCTCTGTGTTTCATTATCTCACCTGCAAAAGACTGGTAATAATGCCTGTAGTATCTACCTCCCAGGTGGTTGTGAAGATAAAATGAGATCATGGATGTGAAGTGCTTTGCAAACCTTAAAGCACAATGTGTCTGTTATTGTTCTTTGTCCTTCCTTTTGAAGAGGATGGATGACATCATGAGGTGATGACTTGACTTGCCATAAATTGGATTTAAGTGAGGCAGAATTGTACAAAGTCATCCGCCTCACTCTCCCTTCCAGAGTCATTGAAGTCCAGTGGCAGGACAAAAGTCAGGATGACTGGCAATGACCTGGGATGCAGTGGATGATCTTGGTGTCTTCCACGTCTGACCAAGCTCTAAGCTCTTCCCAGAGCCGACTTCAGCCGCCTTCATGGCTGTTGGAACAAATTGTTCTCATCCACTCATTCTGCCGGGGAAGTCTTCACAGTCTTCACAGGCTTAGAGCCGACGTCTCCCAACTCACTGGCAGGTTTGAGGCATGTTGGTTACCCTCAGCCTGGTTTAGTCTGTCTACTGAGATGGGTTTTCTGGGCCACAGTTTCTTGGAGCCATGGGTGAGAGCCATGGGATGAAGGTGGACAACAAAGGTGGATGAGCAGCCCTCACACCAGAGATGCTAGGCCTCCCTGAACACCCCATAGACCCCAAGTCAGTTTTTATTACTATCAAGAAGCTCACAATCTAGTAGGGAAGTGTGGTATACATATACCACATTGGTACAAATGCTGGCTACTCCTGAATATAGGGTACACCACTAATTTAAGAGCCTTCCAAAAGGATAAAAATAGTTGATTATGTAGCCACATCTGGGTTTTGTTCAATTCAGATTTTGGGGGGGAAATGCAGTCTATACTCAGACCACTATGGTAACCATAATATGAAGTAATACATGATGAGTAGGTGAGAGAAGGGCTTTGTGAAGTCTGAGGTGGGGGAGGGGAAGGGGATAAGGGAAGGTTACGTAGAGAAGATGGGATTTGAAATGACCTTTAAAGTATGGATGGGATTTCCTTGGGCAGAGATGTGGAAGAGAGGGCAATGCTGGCATAGGGATTAGCCAAAAGTAAGGTATGGAGTTGGGGCAACGTAAGTTGCATTTGAGAGATAAATCATCCAATTCAGCCGAAGTTATAGTGAAGTTTAGAACGATGGGGCTGGTGCAGATCGTGGAGGCCCTTGAATACCTGCAGCAAGGGAGTCCAAAGGGAACCATGGGAGGGTTTGAGCAAGGGAGTAAATGATTGCATCTATGCCAAAGGAAGATTAATTTTATGGCTGTGTAATAATCACATAATTATATAGTGGATCACACACGATTATATAGAGGTTCCAATGAGATATTTGTAAAAAATGCAGTGCCTGGCACATAATTGGTGCTTATGTAAATGCTTATTCCTTTCTTTTCCTCTCTTCCCCTCAAATGACTCTACATTCCTAGCTATCCTTTCTAGCTCTAGCTGTGCTTCATTCAAACAGTCCCCTCCCTTCCTTCCCATACGTGCTGTGCAGTATACTAGGGTATGGGGTGTTCAGGAGGACTAGAACCTCTGGTGTGAAGACTTGCTGAGCTCTTTTCAGGGCTGCTCATCCATGTGGCCACAGCTCAGTAAACCTGCCTCAGCTGATGGGCTAACCCAGGTTGAGGGTAACTGACAGGCCTCAAACATCAGCGAGTCGGGTGGTGTCTACCCCAAGCACAGGGAGACCTCCCCCAGGTGGAATGGGCCGAGGAGAACAATCTGTTCTGCCAGGAGCTGCCAGGAAGGAGGCTGAAGCAGGCACTGTGGAGGGCTTAGAGCTTGGGCAGCCACTGAAGATGCCAGAGTCATCCACTGCATCCCAGGTCATCACCGGTCATCCTGACGCTTCTGTCTTGTCTCTGGACTTCGATGACTCTGGAGGAGAGAGTGAGGCTGACGACTTTGTGCAGCTCTGCCTCACTTAAATCCTACACACTCAAGCCTCGAGACATCACTCACATGATGCCGCTGGTCCTTTTTGAAAATGAAGGACAAACAGCAACAACAATGGA